ACAGGCGTCCCGGGTAGAGCTGCTGCCGTCACAGGTGTCCCGGGTAGAGCTGCAGCCGGCACAGGCGTCCCGGGTAGAGCCGCAGCCGTCACAGGCGTCCCGGGTAGAGCTGTAGCCGTCACAGGCGTCCCGGGTAGAGCTGTAGCTGTCACAGACGTCCCGGATAGGGCTGCAGCCGTCACAAGCGTCCCGGGTAGAGCTTCAGCTGTCATAAGCGTCCCAGGTAGAGCTGCAGTCATTACAGGTGTCCCTGGTAGGGCTGTAGCTGTCACAGACGTCCCGGGTAGAGCTGCAGCCGTCACAGGCGTCTCGGGCAGAGCCTGAGAGGTCACATGTCCTGGCCAGCTGCTCTGACGACAGGTGCTCTTGACGGGAGACGGAGCCCGCTGAAAGGCACGGCTCCGGCCACGGCAATCTCATCTAATGCCAACGAGCCCCATTCCCCAGTAATGGGGTCTGATGGACGTCCCGTTTCTGCGCGTCGCTTGTTTGAAAACGCGGCCAATGGTGAATGGCTGGCTGGCTGAATGTGCTCGGGACCAGAGACTATAGGCGGCTCAAATTGGCTCCAAAGCAGGCTGAAATGAGCCCTTGGGCGAACCATTAGTGAAGACATGGAGCCTGACCCCCCTACAAGACCGGGCACCGAATATCCCGCGCGTGGTCAGGGAAGCCCAACTGCAGGCGAATATTTCGGTTTTGCTAAATGTCAGCAGCTTTGCTATTGCCAGGGGCGGATCCAGACGGAAGGGGCCATGGGCCATGCCGCCGCCCCCCCCCCCCCCCCCCTTCCTTGAGCACTGAACGGGCCCACAGACTCCGAGGGGACCTACAGCCAGCCAAACAGATGCAGTTTTTTACATAGAACGCGACAAAATTGTACGTCTTTGGGCTTCTAGGCGACCATCACCAGTCGCAAGCGAATGTGAAGCGTCTGAAAAAATAAGTATCCTCTGATTGAGAGAGTGGTGATTGGGAGGTCTTGAGAGTGCTTACGCTGTCCAGAAGACCAATGCTATTTCCGAGGGCCCTATATATCCACGTGCGGTGCCAACCCGATTTAAGGATTTGTCTACGGCGCGCTTGATTTTCTTGCCTTTGATCGGAGTACCTTGCGCTGTTGATGGCCTCGTCCTGCTTACGTGCTGTGGCACTCTTTATTGATCAGGAACCTTCCACGGATTCTTTTTATTCGCCCAAAACGCTCTATACGCTAGAACCGTGGGCCTCATATGTTGACATGCCGACGCATTCTCGGCTGCTTCGGAACCCTTCACGTTGGTCACGGTTAACCTACCGACACACTCACGACATGCTCATCGACCCCCTACTTGACTAAGCCCTGGATTGCCCTTGAGTGTTGCAATTCACATCCCCTCCTTATACCATAATTTAAACATTTTCCATCGAACAGTGCTTGAGCCGACAGCTTTGCCACACTACCGTTTCTCAGCAGTTCCCTCTTGTGTCTGCTTTGTCGTTGTGCAGTCTTTCTACAGTCATATTCGATGGCGTGCTATCTTCCCCCACCCCCACCCCACCCCCACCCCCAGTTACTAATGGGGGAGAATGTTTCCTTCGGCGTTCGCTGTGTAACATGTCGTTAATCCCGGAGGGTAATTGCATTTGCAATTGCTCAAATCTGTACCAAACCTTATGGAGGAGGGAGAGGGGACGCTGATTGTTCGTGTCACTTAGTGAGAATATGATCATTAGCCTCAGAGAATGTCTTTGGCGGTTTCGCTGGCCATGGACGCGGCACGACCCTGGCAGTCGGGGCATCCCGAGACCCCAATAATTCACCGGCTCCGGTTAGTTCTGTAGGCGCAACAGCACTATGACCCGCGGCTGCTGATCGGGCGATGACCCGGCGCGCCTACGCCTTGCGCAGAGCAACGCTCGGTCAAATGTCCGACTGGTGATCCACACATGTGAGATCTGTTCTTCGGCGATACGACGTTAGATGAGGATAGTTAAGGCGGGATAATCTTCATCAATTTCATTTATCGAGAAATGTACAGCGTCGAGTCACCGCGGCGGACTTGGCCAAGTGTCGAAATGAAATGAAGTTATCTGAAATAACTTGTTGGCTTTGGTCAGGTCACTTAAATTGATGAGAGAGAATGAGACCGACCGCGCAAAAGGCACATAGCTGCAAAGATTGGCCACGTACAAATGCTACCAGTCGAAGAGGAGTACGGAAATGAGGAGGAAAAGACAGCAATCGTGCACAGTTATCACTTCGGCGCACAGCCCTAATGAAACGCCAAGAACGTTGAGGGGATCCCCTGGTCGTAACCCCAGTATGACTGGACGCCGGGATTGAGACATGTGTCGTGTTCGGTTCATGGGTCCTAAGCATTGTCCAAACACTTGGAATGCGTTTGCCTAACAATGACTACCGCCGCGGCATCGCGGTAGGAAGCGAACGCGTTCAGCACGCTGTCGAGCCATATTACATCGCGAACCCATTCGTTTGAACTTCATTTTCCAACCGCAGTGTGCAACACTCATGATCGTCAACGTGGAGAGGGTATCCTCGCCCATGGCCCGGATCCAAACCGGCTCACACGCGCCATATGCATGGCAAGTCGCTTCTACGCTGCCATTCAAACGGACCCCATGCCTACCAATGAGACAAACCGCCATTTCAACTGGAAAAACCAGCCTTGACGAGCCGAGAACACACTCAGACGACGTGCCTCGGCCCATCTCAAGACCGGTGCAGCTCCCAGCAGGACAGCGTTTGTTCTCCGCTGTCAGCGCGGAGAGGTGCCCCCGTCGGCGTAAGGAGACTCAGCCTCACGCAGCGCGAAGAGGTGACAGACTCAAGCAGCGTAGGGAAGTGACTCAGTCTCATGCAGCGTGAGGAGGTGACAGATTCACGCAGCGTAAGAAAGTGACAGTCTCATGTAGCGTGAGGAGGTGACAGCTTCGCGCAGCGTAAGGAAGTGGCTCAGTCTCACGCAGCGTAACGTGACTGTCCCACGCAGCGAAAGGTGACTCAGCCTCACGCAGCGTAAGGAGGTGACAGCTTCACGCAGCGTAACGCAGTAACGCAGCTTCGCGCAGCGTGAGGAGGTGGTCACTCTCAACGGGCGAAAAAATAGAATGGAACTATTTGAGACGCGTTTTCTTGACAGCATTGCCGAACATGACCATATTAGTTAATAGCTGTCAGGTTTGTTTGCATGAGCCTAAAAACAATATCCACTTAGCCTGCCCGATTATGCCAACGAAGGGGCACATCAGTTTTCCCAGAAAACACTTTGCAGCCTTAATCATTCCTGGGCGGCCATAACACTGCCAGTTCTGTGCATTGTCTTCCGTCGACGCTCTGGAAGCTTTTGTACATTTTGGCACGTTGATACCACAATGAACCCATAGCGTACGGAGGACGTCCGACGCAAAATAAAAATAGACGCCCGTGAACTGTACGCCGCAACCTCCAACATATTTCACTCCAAAAGGTATTCGATGGGACCAACCAAATTCCTGTGCCAAAAAACATATTAATCACACGTGTGTAGCTCTGTTCGTACCGAATGTTATGCAGATGACTGGCAGGGTCATTCGACAGCAGTTTGCTGAGACGCTATTCACCTGTAGTCGCGGCAAGATTCTCAGTGCCCCGCGCCTTGATCTCAGTCAAATCGCCTCGCGTAGCCACGTGTCTGAGGTCGAAAACACCATTGTCTCCTTCCAGGATTGCCGGCAGCGCCAGACCAATTCCATTTCCTTAATAGGCTTCCTATCTGATCAATTTTTAACGCTCGGTTGAAGAGTTCCCCTCCCGGCGAAACGCAAGGAGCCAGCTCAAGGAAATTACAGGGAAAGATTATCACAAAGAAACGACGGAGGGGAACGCGCGCGAACGCAACGAGCGAAGGGCGCGCCCTCCTTACCCAGCCAAATGCAACGAGAAACGCACAGACTGTTGCGCAAGCTGGCGGGCGTTTAGATGTGCAGTTCATCCTGTGCCCATCTAACAGCGGGACGCTGCAGACGCTAAACTTCGCTTCAAACGCTCCATCGCCGATCCCTGTCACACAAGTGTTGTTTGGGTCCTGGCCCCCAACCCCATAGCGTTCTTTGGCATTTTGGTCACTAGGTACGACGGGATGGTGATCCTGATAGCTGGGACGGTGTCCTCACACACTACCAAGGCGCATGAGCTCGTCGGCATACCAAAATCAAGTCAAGGCTCTGCATGAACCACACGGACAGGGGACCGGAGCTGACCTCGGTCACCTAGCTCAGTCCCGTGATGTGGAGTCAACAAGGGTCAACAGCAGCCTGCTTACGGTGTTTAGACCAAGAGGTGGAAAGCCATGAGGCGTTCACTCATGTCGGTGTGTGATCCCTCTCCGACAACCTTGTCACAAACACCCAAAATCCGCCGGGAATCCGGTGCTCTCCTTCCGCTCCTTCTCTTCGCGCGGGACCCGAACACAACTGAACGACAACGGCTCACATACCGCTTCTATTGCGTAAGACCACACACACACAGCACCTCCCGGCCGGTCCCAACACTGCAGGGCGGGGGGTGCCCGCCGGCTCTGGCCGCAGCTGGGGGGCGGCCCACTGCCTCCGGCCGTAGCTGAGGGTGGCCCACCGCCTCTGGCCGCAGCTGAGGGCGGCCCGCTGCCTCCGGCCGTAGCTGAGGGCGGCCCGCCGCCTCTGGCCGCAGCTGGGGGCGGCCCACTGCCTCCGGCCGTAGCTGAAGGTGGCCCGCCGCCTCTGTCCGCAGCTGAGGGCGGCCCGCCGCCTCTGGCCGCAGCTGAGGGCGGCCCGCCACCCCTGACCGCAGCTGAGGGCGGCCCGCTGCCTCCGGCCGTAGCTGAGGGTGGCCCGCCACCTTTGGCCGCAGCTGGGGGCGGCCTACTGCCTCCGGCCGTAGCTGAGGGTAGCCCGCCGCCTCTGGCCGCAGCTGAGGGCGGCCCGCCGCCTCTGGCCGCAGCTGAGGGTGGCCCGCTACCCCTGACTGCAGCTGAGGGCGGCCCGCTGCCTCCGGCCGATACTGAGGGCGGCCCGCGGCGCGGCGGCACTAAACGGTACGCTTCTCATCCAAGCTGAACGGCTTGATCCAGCGCAGTCGCAGACGCTCCCGCACCGTGGCCGGCGCCAGCTTCAGCCGGTCGTACTCGGTGACGACCGGCGTCACGCGCATGGCGGCGTTCCGCACCACCCGGCCGTCCTGCAAGAGAACACGGCAACCTGAGGCCCTGCGTCTAGCATCCGAACGGGCACCGTCTTCACGTCTTGCGCTCAACACCACGCCTCAAAACACGTACAGTTCACAGATAGCGCCAGCTTCACGCAGACATGTAGGCGACCCACGAGCAAGACCCGCCATCTAGACTCTGTGATATATGACTCAGATTCCACACACATCAGTCGGAAAGGTCGGCCCCAATACGCCATGATGATTCGGAGCCCCCTATGCCTATCCTTCGTGAGAATATCTGTTGATGATCTAGGTAATATATATATATATATATATATATATATATATATATATATATATATATATATATATATAAACTATATGTATAATAGATGTAAATTAATAAATATCAATATATATATATATATATATATATATACATAAATAATAGCAAGTCCCCCCCACACACACACAAACAAGACACATCAAGCGGGGTAATGCACCTTAATACGTGCTTGGGTAATCGGTTGAAAAAGACGCGCTCGAGTGGGTTGGGGCGAGTGCAACTTGGAATCCCTGAGATATCCAAATCTTAGAAAGCTGAATGCACCACATGCACAACGCAGAAAGTCAGAGACAATAAGGTCGAACAGTTTCAAACTCGAGATTGTTGTCCGAAGTGCCCCTCCTTCTCCCCCTAACCACGGCAAACAACCAAATCGAACCTAGATAATTGTTCTAATCGAGAGGCCAATCAGGGTCATGTCAATTCAGTGTTCTTATCTTGCCTTGAGAAGGTCAAACAAACAGAAACGTCCCAATTATTTTGATATTTGATTTTTTGTAATGAATTAATACAAAATGAGTATCATAGACTGGCTCCTGAAGTAAGTTTTTCAGAATAAAAACTTTGATCTGACCTTGGTTTGACATGAATACCTGACCCAATTTCAAAGAAATTAGTTGAACTCCGAGTTAAAATCGTCCATTTGCTTCGGAAGCCATCGCAAATTTGTGTGATGTCTAACGCTCCGCTGCCATATCAGCTGGAAATATTTCTTAGAAGTGTCCTTACTGGCAACTATGACCTGTTTTCGACCCGCTACAGGTCAGCTACCTTAAGAGGCATAACCAACAGTTGATACCAAATGGCTCGTTATGTAGTTGTCTACAGCTGTACGAATATTGGCGTCGCTAAAGTCGTACGAATTCGGAGTTGCTTTTTTTTAATTCGTTTTAAATTTTTGAAAAAGCCTTTAAGAGGAGAGGGAGGGGGTTCAAATCGGCCTGTCCACCCGGAGCGGGTGTTCAAGTTTGAAATGGGTTGGGGCTTTCGGAAAGCTGTTGCTATTCCGCGCTTTGTATACAACAGTGTCTGGTTACTTACGTTAATATGCTCACGTAAGCTGGGGACAATCGCGACGAAGACTTAACCTGCCATGCCGCAAAACATTCCGACGGTTATCTTTCCAATTGTCTGATCTCAGCACCACCTCAGACGTACGACAAGCTCTGAATGTGGCTCCCCAAAAGTACAGAACAGTATCGATGTAACAGCGCGCGTATAACCCTGAACCTCCATCTAAAATACAGGCAGGACGCCGTCCCATTCCCTGACTGGCACCAGGCTTATCCGAGTGACTTGGGTCGGGTAGACCAGGACGGGTCTAGTACAGCACGCCGGGTCGGTTCAGAGCCGGGCCGGCGCCGCTTGGCAGGGTAGCCCCACCAGCGGGGTGGCGCCTCGCGCCGCCGCGCGCCGCAGCGCCGGGCGTGGGCGCCGGCTCCGGGGCGCCGTACCGCCGCTCTGTCGGCGGCCGGGCCGGCGCGCGTAAATATCGCCCCGGCCGGGGAGCGCCGCCGCCGTAACTCGCCGCCCCTCTGACAAATGGACTCGTCTGTGCCCAGATTGCAGGTGGCTGCGAGAGCTAACTCGGGGGCCGGCCCGCCCGGAGGAATCAATCGGCGGCGCACGGGGTAGGCGGGGCGCCGGACGGACGGCGCGGCGGGCGGACGGCGCGGCGGGCGGCCCGCCGGCGCTCGTCCGCAGTCTGCAGCCCGGCGGGTCCGCCTCGAGGCCGTCAGGCTGTCGGGCCGCGTTTACGGGCTTGACATCAAACGGAATATTCACAGAATGAGGTGTACGAGAGCTGTGCACTGGAAACGAGGCCTGCCCGCCCACCGTTCATCAGATGCACGAGGGTCGCGTAATATGTTTCAGAGTGCCTCCAAAAGGAGCATTCCAGCGTGGATATGTCATATGACAACCTTCCTAACCTTACCAACGATTACGCTATCTCGCTACTGTCCGGGCTCCACAAGCTACTTGGTGCAAGAGTGACGCACTTGAGCCCCGCGGTTTTCACACCACGGTAAACACGGGATCCGCCTTCTCCATACACCCGCTGGGCTACCGCCCTTTCTCTGGAGGAAAACTTGCCTCTAGCCTCACCAGGGCACAATAACGAGGGCGCTCATGACAGAATGTCGCGACGCGTGGTGTGTGAGTTAAATCGACCCTTAATTTGGGCAGCGCCTGGCATCACACTGGCAGTAACTGAACAACCAGCATTCACCACCATTAGCGATAGTCCAACAATTCATGGAGTAACACACGGCAATCAAAAACACCCACAGACGAAGCTCGGCCTGCCGAAGACGACTAGCGCATCAGACGTCTCGCTACCCCGATGCTTAATTTTGAAAATGTTCAACACCTTGTTCCGGTAGTGGTTACACAGGCGCTTCAACGGATGGACCCTCCGGCTGTTGACTGTCGCTGACCTCGCCATGTCCCGCCGTCTGCCAGCTCCCCTGACCGAGGTACGTCTCACGAGCGCCGCAGTCTGCCGCGAGTGAGGCCCCGGCCGGCGGCGAGGCCCGCACCTGCGCTGTCTCTCCGCGGTCTAAATCAAATGGAGCTGCCATCAATTAAAGCAGACCGCCGCTCCCGTCGTTAATCATTGCGCGGGGCGGCGGCTGCAGCCATTACCTTCAGCGGCTGCCAGTCCTCATCTGTAGCAGCAGCTGGCCTTCGCCGCCCGCGGTATCGTTCCTCACCTCCCGCAGCTGCCGATTCCTACCTCTGGAAGCTGTCCGTCCTCGCTTCCAACAGTTGCCAGTCCCCGTTTCCAGCACCCGCCGATCCCTACCTCTAGAAGCTGTCCATCCTCGCTTCCAACAGTTGCCAGTCCCCATTTCCAGCAGCTGCCGACCCTCAAATCCAACAGGCACCAGCAGTCATCATCAACGTCAGTAGCTGCCGGCTCCATGGCCAACAGCTGTCAGCCCTCACCTCCAGCAGCTGCCAGCCGTCCAGGTCGTCGTTCGCCGGCTGGCCGTCCGGGAAGGTGATTGGGTCCACGCGGATCACGTGCTTCACGGTGTACAGCATGGCGTTCACCTCCGGGATGTTCTTGACGACGTTGACGGCGCCGACGGTGCGCGTTGAACGCTGGCGGGCGGCCGTCACACGCAGTCAGTGTGCGTGACAACAGCGCAGCTGAGTGTTCAGGGTTGGCGCATCCGGCAACAACCCCGGAAGAGTGTCTGGTGTTGGATGCCTCCTCCCCCTCCCTTCATTCATCAGCAATAGTGGACCCAAAATTCGTCATCGAGTCTGTCCTGACGCCTCCTGCGTCACTGGCGCACTGTCCCGCGTGCCAGACGTGTGCCAGACGCGTGTATCGCGGCACCGGAACATTGTCCGTGTGTCGAGGCGTCTCGGCTAGACCAGCCACACGAGCACGTGGCCAGGTGACACGGGACCGGCCAGCGTCCCGCGCGGGCGGCGGCACATGCCGGCGATCCCAGCTGCCGGCAGCTCCCGCCGGCCGCGAAATGTGCCTCAATTCGGACGACCAGATCCCATTTCCGACAGAGCTCGGAGAGAAATGAATGCAGATTTTATCGCAGAATTGGCCCAACTTCCGAAACGATTCTAAGAACAAAGTTCTCTGAATGTTCTCGTGATTGAATGGGAACTAGGCTCATTAAAAAGACTTAACAACGTGATCAGTTCATGCTAGACGACTGCCACGATGGAAAAGAAAGATTAATGGTCCGCCAAAAGTTCTTTACAAAATGCATTCATCTAGTTTCAACGGCTGCATCACGGGCTGAGCGAAGGCAGTGCAGATTTATGCAGCATCTAAAGTACAATCGAAAACCGTTTGCGATAAAAATACGTCCATTTCATATTACTTTAAGGGAGGCAGGTAAAATGCGGCATCAAAATTTTGCGTAACAAAGTACGTAATTCACGTGAAATCTACCTTGATCCCATAAGCTGGAAGAATGTTTTATCACATTTCTGGAAATCCGGCATACCATATGAAGTCCTGGGAACAGCCAAGTACCTACGTAGCCACAAGCCATACACCATGGCCGATCAAATCTGCTGGCGGGGTCAATCAGCACCACTGCTCAGCCGCCAGCACCGGGCTCTCACCCCCTCGTGGCACCGCCCTCAGCCGCCAGCACCGGGCCCTTAACCCCTCGTGACACCGCTCCTCAGCCATCAGCACCGAGCTCTCACCGCCTCGTGGCACCACCCTCAGCCATCAGCACCGAGCTCTCACCCCCTCGTGGCGCCGCTCCTCAGCCGCCAGCACCGAGCTCTCACCCCCTCGTGCAGGCCGAGTTGGCGGCAGGTGTCCTTGATCCAGTAGGGCTGGCCCTGGAGCGGAGCTATCAGCTGGATCCGATGCAGCTTGGCTGGCGTCACCGGCGGGTCGGGCCGGTCCGGAAACCTGGCGACGGCCGGGCCCGCCATCAGAGCCGGGTCAGCACCGAGGGCAGCCGCGATCAACGCTGAGCCCGGGACACGACGGCCGGGGCGGGGCGATGCTGGCCGGCTCGTGATAGCCGGCGTTTCTCCGTGCGAGACTCGAGCAGTGCAAACCGCCAGTGAGTGTGGTTCAAGCTTTCCACGCTTCTCAAGCGCGACCCCACCCACTCAATTATAGTTGTTACGCAGGGCACACAGGATTCTGAAAGGCTAAACGTTTCCAGGAAGTTTCAAACACACTTTCTTCTCTTTTTCCTTGTGTTTACGAAATGTCCGCTTCGTGCACCGGGTCTTTACGTCTGCTGGCAACCGGCAGCAGATCGGACGGGCAGGTCCGTCTGTCCGGTCAGAGTGCAGCGTACAGAGCTGGCCGGCCACGTGGGAACGGGAAGGCTCCACTCGACTCCGGCACACGCCCGCTCCAGCCATCGGTCCGCTATGAGGCACTGGCGCCGCGGGCCCACGTGGCGACGAGACGCTCCATTCGTCTCCGGCACAAGCCTGCTCCAGCCAATTGGTCCGCTATGAGGCAATGGCGCCGGATTGAAGTGTCGTATTGGAGGGGTGGCCAGCCTTTCCCCTAACACTTCACTTTGCCGCCGTCGGTCCCTTTCCGTTCCCCTCCCCCCCCCCCCCTCCACAACACCTTATAAGCGAAGTGGGCGAAATCCGTGGAGTCATTGATTTGATGTAACATTGGGACAGTTCTAATAATTTATATCAGCATGAACCAATCCTCTTCCGAGTTTGAAAAAAACGTCGTTACAACTGGCAGAACGATGGCAGGCGCGCGTCAGCTGTCCCATCCCCCCCCCCCCTCCCTCCCACCTTATCCAACCGGCCCAGGGTGACACCGGCGCGTTCAACCACCACAGGTGACTGGTTCACAACGCTGAGACGCAGGGTGCATCGGCTCCACAGTCTGCCGAGCGTCAGCGGCAAGGGCAGGCGGTATGATGGAGGGGGCGGTGCACCATCGAGTCGGCAGGAACCCGCCGGGTCGCGCTGCCACTGACCGCGGTAGTAAATGAAGCCGTGGTACTGGATGCCGCCGTCGGGCCGTGGCACGCCGCGTGAGCTGTCCGGCTTGTCTGTGACGGCCACCGCCATGCGCTCGGAGCGCGGCAACAGATCCCTGTTCGGCGGCAGCTTGGCGCGCGGGGAAGCGGCGCTGCAGCGGCTGCGCTTGTTGATACCAACCGCCGCGTGATGGCAGCACAGCCACCCCGCCAGAGGGCGCCAGCGAAGACGATCGAGCCGGACGGGGAAGTCATTGTACTGGAACTCACAGACACCTGGAAATAACGATGTAGCTTAGGAAACGACGCTTGCGGAATGACCAGGCCAGCTGAAAGTATCATGTTTTCACAAACAGCCGAATGGTGCCACAAATTTCCTGAAGGGGCTGTTGGAAAGGACATCCTAACCTTCTGTCAACGTATAGCTTCTGCACCTCCTTCGTTCCAATAAATCGCTTGCTCCGTGTTACGTCGTGACCTAACCCTGATACTTCTGTGTGACCCTGATACCTGATCTGAGCCCGGTGCTAAACACACGAGAAAATTGTTCCGTTTTAAATTATGCTCTCGAATCAAAGCTTTTCAAGTAGATTTATCATTTCTGAACGCGAATCTTACCAAAGTCTATCTATCTATCTATCCAAAGTTCCCAAAAGTGGAGCTTCGTTCGACAACACTTTGATCTGGCACCGGGATCGAAAAACGAAGCAAACGATGGCCGAAGCGCGCAGTGGCTCTATTTCAGGTATTTCAGGTAATTGGATACGGGAGCTCGGTTTAAAAACTTAGTTTTAGAAACCATGATTTACTGCTCGTTCTATGAAAAATACAAGATTTCTTTGGTACGCCGTATCCCTAAAGGATAACATGGCGCCACCGCTTCCGCTGAATCAGCAAGGTGCTACACAAACAGCAGCTTGAGGTTTCAACATGCTACTACATAATTTGTTCAGTGTTTTATGCTGCTAGTAACCGATTATCAGCATAATAGAGGTACTGCTTCGGTGACGTTATCGGGCAGAACATCGGTTTATTGTTGAAACCCCACGTTCCAAGTTGTGCTGACTGTCGTGAGTGGCCACGAGCGACTCGTGACATTAAGAACAGTCTGAAGCGTGACATTGTCAGCATCAGTCTGAACTCTTAATGCCGAAAAAGAAGAGCCGAAAACACTTATTTCTTGTTTCGCAGATTTAGTCTAGCCTACAGGGAAAGTGAGGGCTACTATCATGTTCAGCTTGATAATCAAGCAAATATGTTATTACAAGAAGAAAACCATAACTACCGGCGTAAGAAGCAGATCCGCGAAAGCGTCTTACTCAACCGATCCATGAGGTATTACCGATGGTTCGATGATTCAGGCCAATTCACAAATGACAAAGTGAAATTATTGTCATGCTCCACCAGTAGGCAGCTGGGGCGGTCAATTTCGCGAGTGA